GCCGCCGCCGCCGCCGCGGCCGCGGGGCTGTGGGCCGACGTGGACCTCACCGAGCTCGACCAGTACCTCGACTGCAGCCGGACTTGGCCCGACCCGGCCGGGCTCCCGTACCACGTGGCGCTGGCCAAGCTGGCCCCGCAGCGGCCCATGTCCTGCCCCGAGGAGAGCAGCCTGGCGGCCGCGCTGGCCGACGCCAGCAGCGCCGTGTACTACAGCGCCTGCATCCCCAGCTAGGCGAGTGGCCTCTCGGCAGCGCCTCTGGAAGCGGCTGTTTTCTGCCCCCTTTTGTATACGCAATACAATGTATTTAATTTTTAGTGCGCGTGAACTTTTCCTTCCCAGCCGCTGCCTTGACCCAAAGCAAGGACTCCGGAAACTCGGTTTCAAAAGGATGTTTGCTGCAAAGGGGGCGCCGGGCGGCCGCCCCCACACCGCGGAGGGCCTGGCCCTGGCCAGCCTGGACCGCGGCCCCCGGTCAGCTTCAGTGGCACCCCACGCCCCAGCCTGGACCCCTCCTGCCCCGCCGGCCACTCCCGCCCGGCAGAGGTCAGACCACGCGCAGCCACGCCCGTCTCATGTCCCCCTTGAAAGTCCCTCAAGCCCAGGCACTGCGGGGACAGGCCCTCCCTGGTGGGGTGGGGGGCACACAGCTGCGCAGACACAGGGGCGCCCTGGCTGCAGCTCCGTCACCTCAGCTGGGCGGCCCCAGGGTGTCGGCCTAGCTGGGGCCGTCGGCCGGCAAGAGGGCTCAGGCCTCCAACTCCCCCGACTCTGGGCCGCGTCCCCCTGGGGCCTGGCTACTTGCCAAGCCCCAGGCTTCCGCCCCTCTGTGCCTCCACTGGGGAGGGAGCCCGTGGCTGGCGTGGGGGCCGGCGCCAAGTTACCCTTGGGGACAGAGCTTAGCTGCCTCCCCACCAGCACAGACCCCCACTATGCCAAGAGGGCGCCGGTGCCCCCATCTGCCCTGCCCAGCGCCACCCCAAGGTCCACCTCTGGAGGAGAGGACACTGGAGCCCAGGCAGGCTGTGGGCGCCCAGGAGGCGGGAGGCCCGTGTGGCCACTGGCCACTGGGACCCCCGCCCGGCAGAGGCCTGGGGCGCGGTGCTCGGTGCTGGCTGTGCCTGGGTCATTGGGTGTCCCCTGACAGTCTGCAGCCCCCCGCCTGGCCCTGCCCGACACACTGGCTGCAGCAGTCAAGACACAGAAAGCCAAGCCGAGGGGCTGCAGGCGGAGAGGGCCGGGAGCCCCAGGGCGCCGCCCAGGCACAGCCCGGGGACAGGGCACATCCCCCAGGGGGACAGAGGTCACCTCCCCCTCTCCGGACCCAGCCCTGGGCCCTGCCCGAGGCGAGACACCGGCCGGCCTGGAGACAGCTGGGCTCCCACCCTCTCAGGCCAAGGCCAGGGTCTGCGCAGACCCTGAGGCCAGACGGGCCACGGTGGGTGGAGGGCGGTCAGAGGCAGCACCCTGTCCTTGGGGACTCACCCCCAGAGGGCTGCGCCCACCGCCATCAGCACGAGGTCGGCGCTGGCGAGGGCCCCGGAGCCAGGGTGGGCATGAAGCCAGGGTGGGCACGAAGTGGCTCCTGGAGGGCAGCTCTGGGAGGGGGAGTGGACAGGGCCCTGCTGAGGACCCTCTGCCCAGGGTGGGGCACAGCTCCTGCCCCCCAGAGCCCCAGCACCAGAAGGGAGGCCCCCAAGCCCGCTGACTCAAACCCCCAGGAAGGGCCCCAGGGCGCAGCGCCTGGTGAAGTCCTAGCGGCCTGTCTGGCGCTGGCCCTGGCCCAACCTGTCCCTGGAGTGACCCTGGACAAGGAGTGGGGCGCTGTGCCCACATCCCGAGGTGCAGGGCCAGCCAGGAGGGGCCCTCTCCTCGCCAGGAAGCTCCCACAGCGCTTGCCCGGCCCCAAACAACTCCCGGCAGGGGGGGTCCCCGCAGCAGGGGCTCCACACCCGCCTCGCTGCCGCGTCCACGGGAAGCTGCGTCTCCGCGACCAGCCAGGCGAGGGGGTCGGGCGCCCCCGCCATCGGACCCCCCACCGGGCCCTTGCCAGGCCGGCGGGGCCCCGCCCCGCCCCGCGCGGAAAACAGG